GGTGGATATTCCTACAACTGCCACTGCCGTTAGTCGCTGATCAGCCGATCCCACGATGAAGTTTCTCTGACAAGCCTAGCCGTTTAGACTCGCGGTGGGGTTCGGCCAACCGGTGAGTTTTCGACAAGCCTTGTCATCTAGACTCGCGGGGTGGGGGGAGGGTCGACACCAACGACGCTTACTTCCGGTTTTACTTCCGCTGGACGAGTATATAAGCTCACAGCCTCGCCGTGAAGCCCATTCTAGCTACAGCCCTGCAACACAACACCTCCTCTAAAGCTCCTGCACAGCAACTCCTCTACCATGCAGCAACTCTCAGCACCAGACTGTTTTGCATATAATATATTTATATAAAGAAACCGCCATTAGAGTTTCCCTTCTCCAACCCATCCTGAGTGTGAGACATCATAACGTTAACACTACAATACTGTCACCATACCATCCTCCTTTCAAAGCTTGAACATTACGGCATTAGGGGCCTGCTCCACAATTGGTTTTACCTCATATCTGTCCAACAGGATGCTATGTCTGCTTATAATAATCACCAATCTGACTCTTCGCCAATCTTGTATGGCGTCTCCCAGGTTCCATTCTCGGTCGGTACTGTTTTTGTTGTACATAACGACATAGTCCATGCCAGCACATTCGTAAAATACAACTTATTTGTAGATGATAGTAATCTCTATGCCAGCAACTCAGACCTCCATTCCTTGGTGAGAACTATGAACAATGAATTGACTAAAGTCAGAACGGTAATACGTAATAAACTGACCTAAACCTTGAGAAAACCCACTACACGATATTTCACAGAAGGAAACATTCATCTCTCAGATTCTTGACCCTTCTAGGATTCTTTGGTAATATAGCCTCAAACGTAGCCTAAAATACTAAATTCGGAGTTATTGTTGATGAGAAATACAATGGAGAAACCACATACAAGCATTCACAGTAAAGTCAATAAACAGTGCAATCATGACCGATAGTCACAGCAAAGAAAGAAATCTATAATGATCTTGTTTACCAACACCTGAAACACTATCACACACTATGAGGGGCCTCTGGCTCTTCAAAAGCACAATCCCTGGTTACTGCACAAAAGAGAGTTGTACTATCAATGACCACTTGAAAAAAAAAAAAGATCACAATAAACGAAAATTTGCTAAATTGAAAAATTAAAAATTCGAAGATATATTAACACCCTACTGCCGTGCCCTCTTTGTTTACAAATCTATCAATCACTTGCTCGGTTAACAATTATTTCCAGTCTTGAATAATTAGAGATACAACTTGCTACACCCAGAGCTGCTTCACATTCAATTTCATGCGCTCCTTCCTCAGTCCCAGATCTCCATAAAATACCATGGTGTGAAGGGTGGAACACTTAATTTCACCCATCCGAGCAAAGACTATGCCCTTCCTTTTAAATCATCTTCTAAAAATATCTATTGTCTAAGTAATATGGTTTTGTAATACCTACTATATTTACAGTACCTGCTTTATTGTACTATCAAACCGTTTTTATCGGTAGAAATTGTCATGCAAATAGATAAGAAATTACCATTTCCAATAAATATATTGACAACCAAACATAATCCTGGACAGCTCTGTCCTCTTTGCTCAACTCTCAGTCATTGCAATAAATCCATGTAGTACCAAGCCTCCACATTATATTTATATTTTCAGTTCCACTGTAATTTATGTATATATTTATTAAAAAAACAAGTAAAATAAATAAATAAAAATAAAATAAATAAATAACCGTGATAACCGTAACATTATGAGATGTTCTTATTACCACTATGCTATTGGTACTATTCCGATGATACTAACTGTTACATAATACTTCCTTGAGATAAATGTATATATCAGTATTTCAAAAAGAGACTTTCAACTGCTCAGCTATGTTATTGTTATTATCCACTCTGAATTTGTGTTTTTCTGGCTAAATAAACTGCTTCATCCAGTTCAATCCACTCTCCTCACCCTACTGCTCTTACGCCCCTTTCTTTTCCCCTCACTGCTCTTCACTCCCCCTACCCTGCCCCCACTGCTCTTCATTCCCCCATCTCCTCGCCCCCCAAAAACTGCTCTTCGTCCTTCCCTCGCCCCACTGCTCTTCACGCCCCATTCCTCGCCCCAAACTCATGCCCCTTCCCTCGTCCCCTGCTCTTCACGCCCCCTTCTTTGCCCCCCATTGCTCTTCACACCCTTCCTTCGCCCCCACTGCTCTTCACGCCCCCTTCCTCCCCCCACCTGCTCTTCACGCCACCTTCCCTCGCCCCCACTGCTCTTCGCTCCCCCTCTGCCCCACTTGTCACCCCCTTCCTCGCTCCCTGCTCTTCATAAACCCATAAGTTTTCTATGAATGAATGTCAGTTGAGCGAATAATTTCTTCAGAGAGTTTATAAACCATGGAACACACACATACTGTACTTGTGTGTGTGTGTGTGTGTGTGTGTGTGTGTGTAATATATGTGTATATATATGTAATAATAAATGGTTTATTAATAGAGTTGCAGCCGGTGGCTGAAAATATACAGACTTACATTTAATTTAGA